TTGCTGTTTCAGCTCCAGAGGGTGTCCCAATCACCATTGTGACACATCTCCTCAATGTAGTGCAGGATGAACTAGGGGAGTGTCAAAACAAGGTTGTTTGTCACCATAAGCCTCATTCTGAGGCTAAGGTAGGCCCAGATGCCTCAGCCACAGTTACTGGCCTATGATCAGACCCTGAAGGATTCTGCCTGATACTGAGCCACACCACAAAAGGACTGACCCAGGCTCTTAAACTTGATGCATACCTCCCTTTTTCCTACCTTGCTTCCTTTTTCATTCCTTTATTTCCTCTTTCTTTGTTTCTTTCTCTTTCTTGCTTTCTCCCTCCCTTTTGTATCAACTCTTCTCTCTCTCTCTCTCTCTCTCTCTCTCTCTCTCTCTCTCTCTCCCTCTCTCTCCCCCCTCCCCTTCCCTCCCTACATCCCTCTTCTCCCTGCATCCCTCCTTACCTCCCAACATCCCTCCTTCCCTTCCTTCCTCCCTCCCTCTGTCTTGTTACATTGTTATTTCTGTGTGTGTGTGTGTGTGTGTGTGTGTGTGTATGTGTGTACATGTCAGAGCACACCTTTAGGGAGGTTAGAGAACTACTTGGGTGGTGATGGGTCAGTTGTCTCCTTCTACCATGTGGGTTCAGAGGATTAACTTTCAGAAGTTGGCTCTCTTTCTGCTATGTGGGTCTCTGAAATTGAAATCAGGTTGTCAGACTTGCCAACAGGTACCTTTACCTGCTGAACCATCTCGAAAGCCTAGTACCTCCCCTTACTTGCTCTAAGTAGGCAGTTAATCTCTCTGTGTTGTCTGGAGTTAGGGGGAGGAATGGAGTTGATAGTTCCATGGCTAAAAGCATTGCAACCCTTAATTACACCCACAGCCCACAGCCCCCTGAGACCAGCATAGCACAAGACCTACATTGCTACATGCTGTTCGCTGCTTAGGTGGGCATATGGCCCAGACTGCTGTAACCAGCCATGGGAGCTGGCCAGAGTTAGAAGTACAACTGACTGTGATAGTAGGGTAGGTCCAGGAGCTCTGTCCCAAGAGTTCGTTAGAATTTGCTCAGTGTTAGTTTTATCATCCTGGTACTGAGTTTTAAGAACAAGCTGTATGCTCACTTTTGTACCATACCCTCCAGTGGGATGAATCCTGAATCCTGCTTTTCCTTGTGTTCTCCAAGGTTGTAGAACGAGCTGTGTCGCATCTGAGTTTCACAGAAAACAGAAGCCTGCAGTCTGAACAGTGTATATATCAAACCTATACCATACTTGGTGGTGATAGACACTGAAACACACGTCTGCCTCATAAAAGTAAAGGTATCCACCTGATACCAAGCAGATCTTGGGGCTCTATCTACAGGCTCTGGCCTGGGGATAAGAGAGTTTGGATTCTGCTCTGGCAGTCTCAGCATGAAGCTCCAAGGCAAAGTCCTATGTTCACTTTTCTGTCTGACTACCATGTGCATGGGGTCTTGTTTCTCACTCTGCTGTCCTAGCTTGGTGGAGTGGTGGAAGCAGCCAGCTGCCTGGCCCAGGAGGGTGTAAAGCCTCCTTCTGCAAGTACTGACTGGCCTGGGGCAGGGATATGAGGCTCTATCTGGCACAGGGTTGCAGAGGGGCAGGTATGGTTAGCTTTCAAGTCAAAGTTTGGGTAATTCCTTCCCCCTCCCCCAAGTGGGAGGAATTTATCTCCAAGCCATGTTGTTTAAAATTGGAGAAGTGGTGACACAGCATCCTTTTTTGCTTTCTTTGGTGCATCTTTTCTTACTGCTTTGAGACCAGATACTGTGTCTCACCTGGCTCTCTAAGCCCTTAGAAGATAAGCCAGTGCCCCTGTGGGGAGACCACCACTGAAGGGTCATCTTTAACCACCGTCTTGTCCCTAGAAACAATCACATTTAATCTTAACCACTGTGCAAGGTAGTTAGGAATCATTCCCTGTAAGGAAATGGAGATTCTCACAGAGCCAAGGAACTTTTCTAGTCTCGCAGCTCAGTTTGAACCCATGTTTATCTTTCTTTTTTTTTTTTTTTTTTTTTTTTTTTTTTTTTTTGTCTTTTTGAAACAGCGTCTCCCTGTAGCCCCAGCTGTCCTGGAACTCACTATGTAGACCAGGCTGGCCTCAAACTCTCAGAGATCCACCTGCCTCTGCCTTCCAAGTGCTGGGATTAAAGGTGTACTCTACCATACCCAGCTATGAACCCATGTTTATCTTACTGTGAGCTCATATACTTGCTTTTTTTCTACATACTGCATTACCTTCTTTCATTTAAAATGAGAGTGTTGTGCCACAATGCACATATCTCTTCCAATATATTGCTTACTCCCAATAGCTAGTACTTTAGGGTGAAAATGGTATAGGAGGTATTGGTTGTATGGCATCTCTAGGAAATCTGTAAGTTTTCATCTCTCAAACTTGATTAAATGTGAGAACTCTTGGGATGGTATAAGATAAAATGTTGTAAATATTTTACAAAGTATGTGTGTGTTTCCGTTTTTTAAAATTATTTATTTATTAACCACATACTTAGAAGAAGAATTTCATTACAACAGCATTGACATATTCAGTAACAATTTTCTGAGCTAAGATGCATCTCTTTCAAAATTGGCTGTAAATTTTTAGGTTCACAGTTGAATTAATACAGTTATTCATTCA